TTTTTTTTTTTTTGAGACGGAGTTTCACTCTTGTTGCCCAGGCTGGAGTGCAATGGCGCGATCTCGGCTCACCGCAACCTCCGCCTCCTGGGTTCAGGCAATTCTCCTGCCTCAGCCTCCTGAGTAGCTGGGATTACAGGCATGCGCCACCATGCCCAGCTAATTTTTTGTATTTTTAGTAGAGACGGGGTTTCACCATGTTGACAAGGATGGTCTCGATCTCTTGACCTCGTGATCCACCTGCCTCGGCCTCCCAAAGTGCTGGGATTACAGGCGTGAGCCACCACGCCCGGCCATTTTCTTAATACTTACACCAGCCAGGCATCCTTCACATTTGTTTAGTACAGTCCATTTAAATCACAAAGGTGCTATAGACTACTATATGCTAGGTCTTGTGTTAGGTACTAGGAATGTAAAAATGAGTAAGGTTTATTCCTGCTGGCAAGGGGCTCACAATGGAGGAAAGAAGACAGAGAAACAGACACCTGTCACAATTTCTACTCAGTATGACGTGTGATAGATGCTGTGATACTAGAAAGCTCAGAGTGCTTTGCGGTAGGCATGACAATGATACATGGTAAGTATAACTCACCTAGTTGCTTGGAGTCAGGGAAAGCGTCCCAGATGAACTGCACTTTGAGTTGAATCTTGAGAAAGGAAAGAAGCAGAAAGGGAGCAGCTTGGAAGGATGTGAGAGACCAAGGTGCTCTGGGGAAACTGCAGCTTGTTCATTCTGATTCGACTAAGAGTAGGGCTTCAGACAGAGAACAGGGGAGAGTCTAGACTGGATCTGTAGACAGGGTTCGGATTGTGTCTGATCAGACTATCATACTTAAGCGTTTAAACTGTTATACTGAAGGTAGTGGAGAGACACTGAATAATTTTCAGCAAGTTTTAATCAAATTTATGTTTGTAATGTTATGTTTTGTAGCTTCTGTGCTTCCTTCCCTCCTCCTTTTTCATATATTTTCATATTCTATCTGATTATTTCCCTTATTTGTAAGTGATGCTTTAATGTTTTCTTTCTCTGCTCAGTTGGAGTATTCTTAAATACTCAATGTCAGGTATATAACCACTTATCTCTAACCATCTATGGGAAAGAAGTATTGAATAGACATACTGTATCAGTTTTGCCAGTGTTCTGTGTGTTACTTTACTGCTTAATTTTGAGTTGTCTTTCTCATTTACTAATGTGCTATTCGAAATTTGGTTTTCTTTTAATTACCAAATTGATTTTGTTTTAATTACCAGTTTAATTACCAATCTTGTCTTGTGGAGACATAAAAGATACTACAATGAGTAACAACAGTCAAAATACCTGCCAAACCAGAAATTCACCATCCGTTTGGTGATTTTTTATTTAAAGAAGAACAAGCATGGTGGTCCTGTAGTCCCAGCTACTCAGGAGGCTGAGGCAAGAGGATCACCTAAGCCCAGGAGTTTGAGCCCAGCCTTGGTCAACGTAATGACCGTCTCTGTCTCTCTGTCTCTCTCTCTGTCTGTCTGTCTCTCTCTCTCTCTAAAGAAGAGCATGAAATTCCTAATAAGCCACAAAGGGTCAATTCTGTTATTCCAATATTCTTAAACAAAAATTAATTTTTTAAATAATATTATATATATGATATATACCTTATGTAGGTTTGTTTTTTAGATAATTTTAGAATATGTGGCCTTTGCAAATTTAACTAGAAATTTGAGATTTGTGTGACATTATTAATACCTCACAAAATTTATACTTATTGTTACTGAGTAAAATCAACTAGCTAGTTGTGTAAAATCTAGCTACAGCCATGTACCTTGTTGGGCTTAATTTTCTGCATCAAAATAATGCTTGTGTTAGATGATTTCTAAAGTGTTTTTCTGTTTACAATTTTTGTATCCTTCATCTAATAAATTTTTCCAAATTATTTTTCATGTAGTACACACATGGTCTTCTGAAGAAGCCATGGGTAGCTGTTGTAGCTGTCCAGATAAAGACACTGTCCCAGATAACCATCGGAACAAGTTTAAGGTCAGTAAAACTGGTTGAGTTATATATCTTACTGCCTACTTGGATGTTCTTCTTTTATTTCACTTAACTGATCTTACTCCTGGCTTTTATCACCAAACTCTTCTATTTCCCTTTCTTTCTGCCTTGTCTTTTCTTGATTTAATAAATGATGACAACATTTTCTTAGTACGGAATTTTTTTTTAGTTTTCCTTTGATCTCTTCTATCTAATTAGCCATACAATTCTGGTAACGCTGTCTTTAAAGTACCATTTCACAGGGTGGCTTTTCAGTCAAATCACTATCTGTCTTTCAGTTATTATTTTCATGCATGCCTGCATGATTTTTTAACTGGACTCTTACCTCAAGTCACCCTCTGATTCATCCTGTAGTCACTATCAAATTAATCTTCTTCTTTCATCATTCACTAACCTGTTTGCCAAAACTTCTGTGCTGTTATGTTACCTATAGGTTAAATACTCCCATAGTTGTTTTGTGTCTCATAATCTGACCTCGATCTGTTATAAAAAAAATAGCCTTGATCACACAAACCTAGGTGTAAGTCTGTTACTTTATAAGCTTCGTGACCTTGGGCAGGCTGCATTATTACTAAGTCTTACTTCCATTTTTTGTACAATGTAGTCTAGGATTGTTATGAGTGTTAAATGAGAAAAATTATACATATAAAGCTCTTTTCTCACTCCCAGGGGAATAGTAACTTCTCCCTAAATGTTATCTACTATTCTTAGTCTTTGGATGTTTTCTGAAGCTCAGCAGTACAAAACCTTTGCTTATATGAACTCCATGGCAATCTTATTTTGGTCTCTTTGAAAGGTACTTTCTTTGTTCTGCTTTAACATTGTGTCTTCATGATGTACCCTGTATCTCCTGACCCACTACATTTCCCTTCTTATTTTATTTTGTGAGTAAATTTAATTATACTAGCAGTCCAGCTAAAGGCCTTCCCCCTCTTATGTGAAGGTGTCTCAACAGCCTTAGACCACAGTTCCTGCCTTCTGCAACCTCTGTTGCATTCGTCACTTGATCATATATGTTTTGTGGTTTCTATATTTTGTTTCCCCAGTGGAAATATAAATTTCTTACTGATCTGAACTGAGTGTTACACTGCTACGTAGACCATGGCTGACACACACATTATTTGATGAATGAACTAACAAATTACAAATAACTAATTAGCAACAATGCATTTTCCTGACAAATTGGTGAAATATTTGTATGACTATTAACATTTTTTTAGGTCATTAATGTGGATGATGATGGGAATGAGTTAGGTTCTGGCATAATGGAACTTACAGACACAGAGCTGATTTTATACACCCGCAAACGTGACTCAGTAAAATGGCACTACCTCTGCCTGCGACGCTATGGCTATGACTCGAATCTCTTTTCTTTTGAAAGTGGTCGAAGGTGTCAAACTGGACAAGGTAGAACCTTTGTTTTTTTCCCAAATATTATATTTGAAATATTGCTTTCAGCTATTTTATATAAAAAGATTAATGTTTTTTTCTCCTGAAAAAAATCCCAAAATAAATAGGTTGTTAAGAAAAGATATAGTATACTATGTATTCATTTATCAAGTTTTTATTAAGCATATTGTCTATGTGGGAAATTTTGGCTCATGTTAACTTTAAGATTTTTTAGTAAATGATTAGGCCTGCTAAATTGACTAAGTGTCTTTATCATTGGTTTTTTTTACCACCTGCTACTTGAATGGCTTTGACAAGTTACAAGACTTCTGTTGAATGTTAAGTTTCTTCTCTATAAAATGGAAATGGTAATACCTATCTTATACTTATTGTAATAATTAAACAAGATAACGATTGGAAAACACCTAGGGACTTTGCAAGGGGCCTGTTACATGGCAAATGATCACCTTGGAATGGTGAGTTGGGCTCCCCCTGCTGTTAAAAAACAGACTAGCGTAACTGTGCAGGTCTTGATTTCATTAGCTTTATTTTGGGCCATCTCCTTTAGATGAATGAAAATTATTCCGTAAACTTTTGGCAGGGGTTTGTTTTGAAACAGGGAATAATCAGTAATTTGTCATATATTTATTTAAAAGGGATTTCTTACTCTTGGTGCATAGAATGCTTACTTTACAATTCTGCTCTTTGTCAAGTCTTCCTATAGTTTTTTTAAAGGTATATTAACTATTTTTCCCTTTTGGTTTATATTTGTAGGAATCTTTGCCTTTAAGTGTGCCCGTGCAGAAGAATTATTTAACATGTTGCAAGAGATTATGCAAAATAATAGTATAAATGTGGTGGAAGAGCCAGTTGTAGAAAGAAATAATCATCAGACAGAATTGGAAGTCCCTAGAACACCTCGAACACCTACAAGTAGGTACCCATTTTTCCTCTCACATTTTGAGTAACAGGTCTTTAGTTGTAAGCTATAAATTATGGATATTTAGTCTGTAACACACTGGAAATCACCATTGGATAACAGAAGTATAATGATTGTCAGTTTTCAAAAACAGCTGTAATTCTAAGTACATCAAATATTTTAAAAATGAAAACACTATTTCATAATATCTAAAATATGGGGTAGGTGGGTAATACTATTTCTGATTTCTGCTGTCTTGGCAGAAAGACCTTCTATAATCCTCTCAGTACAGATTCGATTCTTACTAATTTTTATTCTCTTTGCCCTACCCTGCTCTTCCTTAAACCAATAAACAAAAATTCAGCTCCAGGATTTGCTGCTCAGAACTTACCTAATGGATATCCCCGATATCCCTCATTTGGAGATGCTTCATCCCATCCTTCAAGCAGACATCCTTCTGTGGGAAGTGCTCGCCTGCCTTCAGTAGGGGAAGAATCTACACATCCTTTGCTTGTGGCTGAGGAACAAGTAAGCATGTGCTACTGTGTAACAACAGCAATAATGATTCTTCAGAGTTAGCTGTGCTAATACTGGAAGATTTTATTCAGCTTGAAATTTAACTTTCACTGTTTGTAAATTACTTGCATAGTGAACAGTCAAAGGAAATGGCATATATTTGCTGGTGTAAACTCAAATACATGTGGGTATTCAGGGGAACTTAGCATTACAGTAGCTTGTGGGTTCACAAGAGAGGTGTATCTATAGACTAAGAAAGGCATAACTTATGGTCAGTTCTCATTATAAGAACCTCCAGTGGATTAAGAGATTATGCTGCTTTTCATACTTTAGTCATTATAGTCAGTGAACTACTAGTAGGAAAGTAGATTTTGCTGTTAATGTTATGGAGTTATTTAGTGTTCCTGAGTATTCTAGTTTTCATGTGTGGAATGAAGTATCTGGTTGAAACCTCTGTATTAATTAGTTATACTTAGGTTTTGTAAACCGTATGTCACATTAAAAAGTTTTTAGTGTTTTTAAAATCAGTTTCTTTGTGTTCTTTACATAGTGAGTTCTTATATTATTTACTGTAATTACATTTTTTCTTGTTTTGCATTTATTTTTGAATCTTTAAACTTCTATATATAGTCTTCTAAATATTTTTATATTATCTCCCCGAAATATCATTAAGCTTTTATAAATAGTGATAGTTTCTTACTAGGTGGCATTTATTTTATATCTATGCATTTGATAGAACTCTTATTAAATCTAGCAGAGTTTATCTCCTTATACAATAAGATCATCAGTAATTAAGGATAAATTTATCTCTTCCTTTTCAAAGTTATTATTTCTTATTTCTGAGTCATGTTTTAATGCTTTGATGAGAACCTCTACAACAGCAACAAAATGGTAATCTCTATTTTGTTCCTTATTTTTATTTTATACATAATATTTATTTTGTTTAACTAGCAGATATAATGCCTGTTATTTTATTTTTTTAGATGAAATCTCACTCTATCGCCCAGGCTGGTGTGTAATGGTCCAGTGTCGGCCCACTGCAACCTCTGCCTCCCAGGTTCAAGTGATTCTAGTGCTTCAGCCTCCCAAGTATCTGGGAATACAGGCACCCACCACCACGCCTGGCTAATTTTTGTATTTTTAGTAGAGTCAGGGTTTCACCATGTTGGCCAGGCTGGTCTTGAACTCCTGACCTTAAGTGATACACCCACTTCAGTGTCCCAGAGTGCTGGGAGTACAGGCTTTAGCCACTGCACCCAGCCTGCATGTTATTTTAAAGTAGTTATTCTTTTATCAAACTAGGAAGACATTTCTATAATTTAAAAAAAAAAGGTGCAAAAGTTTTGGAGTAAGAGTACATTTGGAGAGAAAAAAGTTAATAAAATTAACTGATATGGCCAGGCTTTTTTCATTCTTTTAAGTAAGTTAACTAATTCACTTTCTGTTTTGGTTTAGGTCCATACCTATGTCAACACTACAGGTGTGCAAGAAGAGCAGAAAAACCGCATAAGTGTGCATGTTCCATTGGAGGCAAGGGTTTCTAACGCTGAAAGCAACACACCAAAAGAAGAACCAAGTAGTATTGAAGACAGGGATCCTCAGATTCTTCTTGAATCTGAAGGGGTCAAATTTGTTTTAGGGCCAACCCCTGTTCAAAAGCAATTAATGGAAAAAGAGAAACTGGAGCAACTTGGAAGAGATCAAGTTAGTGGAAGTGGAGCAAATAACACAGAATGGGACACTGGCTATGACAGTGATGAACGAAGAGATGCACCCTCTGTTAACAAACTGGTGTATGAAAATATAAATGGGCTATCTATCCCTAGTGCCTCAGGGGTCAGGAGAGGTCGTCTGACATCCACCAGTACCTCAGATACCCAGAATATCAACAACTCAGCTCAGAGAAGAACTGCATTATTAAACTATGAAAATCTACCATCATTGCCTCCTGTTTGGGAAGCCCGCAAGCTAAGTAGGGATGAAGATGACAATTTAGGACCAAAGACCCCATCTCTAAATGGCTACCATAATAATCTAGATCCAATGCATAACTATGTAAATACAGAGAATGTAACAGTGCCGGCAAGTGCTCACAAAATAGAATATTCAAGGCGTCGGGACTGTACACCAACAGTCTTTAACTTTGATATCAGACGCCCAAGTTTAGAACACAGGCAGCTTAATTACATACAGGTTGACTTGGAAGGTGGCAGTGACTCTGACAACCCTCAAACTCCGAAAACGCCTACAACTCCCCTTCCACAAACCCCTACCAGGCGCACAGAGCTGTATGCCGTGATAGACATCGAGAGAACTGCTGCTATGTCAAATTTGCAGAAAGCACTGCCACGAGATGATGGTACATCTAGGAAAACTAGACACAATAGTACTGATCTGCCCATGTGAGCCTGGAAAGCATTATGTTGTTTGCACCTTTGTGAAGTTTTTAAAAATGAAGATGCAAGTGCTTCATTTTCATTTCTAAACACTAACTCCTTTTATAGACTGATAAAATTTTTTCTGAATATTTCATGTGCATCTTTAACTAAAGGGAATTAATGTAGAGCAGGTACTCCTTAAAGAACACTAATTTCATTATATACTACTCATTGTACAGCAGCATTCCTGTTTTCACAGTGCCTATTTAAAATGAGAGTTGAAGTGAATGACATGCTGGTTGATTTTTATCAATATTATGGACTTATGCATATCTTTCATGTCTAAGTCATGCTTGGCTTTTAAAACTTTTTATAAAGCCTCCTGACAATGTGCATTGCTAACAGATAACTATAGGCTTTGAGAGTAATGCTCATAGATTCACTCTTCACAGTATGTGGCCTCCAGCATGTAACATGAGGAATTCTTTATTTCATTAATTAAAGGCTTTTTGACTTGAGCCAAAACATATGTAAAGGAAACAGAAGTACCACACCTCCTCTAGTACCAGTCAGCTCCTTTGCCTTCATTGTTACTAGAAAGAAGCCTGTGTCCATGAATATGTTTTGCTGTTGGTGCATTGAAAGGCAGGAAGGAGACAAGATTTTCTATTTACTCATCTCATGATGTCATTTGAAGGGCATGTCCAGATATCTTACTCAGAATTATAATAGGCTCAAGAATTAGTCTCAGGTCACTTTACCCAAAAACATTTGAAAATCTGAACCATGATCTCTTGAAAGTTTCTCTCCTATAGATTATTGACAACATATTGTTTTCTGGAGGCATTTGTGCCATTAGGTTTTCATTTATCTTCGATTTTTTCTTTGGTGTTCGGGATATCTTATTTTTGTTGCCGTATGTCCTTTTCAATTTAAAATGTTTGAGTTTGTATATAGTTTTGAAATTGGACTATGTGTTCATTGTTGTTTAGTTTGCATTTTTGTCAAAGTACGGTTTTGAAGGCTCATTTGGAACTTACTGTTATTCTATAACAGGGTTGCCCTTGTCCAGTATTTATTTATATGCTGTTTACTTTTCAAGTTGATAAAAACAGTTTCTCAATTCTAAATTTCCTGTGTCCATAGGTGATCTATTTAGCAACTGAGAAAAAAAAGGAAGATGCTTTTAACATGCAAAGTTCCCTCCAGGCGTACTGTGTTTTCTCCGTGGGCGCTCTCCCAGCACTTTAGCAGTAACTCCCCAGCTGCACGCTGCAGTCATACTCTGCCTACTCTAGCGTTCCTCAGCTCTGCTGTCCTTTTCCTTGTAGCTGGATCTTTGATTATCCTTTGATTTCCATGAAATGTTAATATTGTTGCCAGCATAGCAGGTACAGTGGAAGTCTTGTAGCAATGAGATTGTGTCACAATTTAGGATTTAAAATGAGTTAAAGTTTATATAAACTAAAGAGTCTCCATATGTCAAACTCTTGGAAAATCAAAGATGTTCCAATGTCCTAAACACTAGAGAATACGAGAGAAGGTAGAGTGGGAAAAGGTTAGATAACCTTGCAAAATATTTTACTATTTTCTCTAAATATGAGGAAGTTTGAGATTATGATCTGGATCTACCAGATGTAACAAAGGTTAATTTAGCATGAAAAAGTTTTAGTCATATTAGCATCCATCCTATTCAGTAAATAAACAAATCATAGGACAGTGATGGATTAGCAGAACAATAGAGTGGGATCATTATAAAGAAAATAAATTATTAAAGGTGTCTTTATCGTTTTTAGTGCCATATTTAGTGTCTTTTTTGTAAATCAGTATCAGTGTCTTTTATCATTCTATGTGCATAGCAGGATTTTCTTTTCCCCCTTTTGTTGCCCCATGAACTTGGTGCTTATTACAGTGTTCACTGTTCTCTTAAAAGAGAGCAGTGGTATAGGTGTGCAGTTTCCCTGATGCAGGTTCCATTTTTAATATATTGTTCCACTTATTCTTTCTTCTAAGTAAATTACTAATTGTGCCAAATTTATGTAATAGTTTTTGTAATGTGGGATAAGAATTACAATGGAACCAATGCACATAGTTTTTTCTGAAACAAGCAGTCAAGGCAGAACATTAATCTCCAAATGAAAGGGCTGATCTATTTATTCATTTTGGAGGTTGGATACTTTATTCTTTCTTTCCGTCATCCTTTTCATTGTTTCCTTCAGATTCTAATTAGTTTTTCTTTTTTTAAGATAACTCCAATATAATCATTGCTGTTAATGCTTTAAATACTATGTGCTTTAAAAATGAAAATGGGACCAATTTGTCTGCTAAGAATTTGATTTTAGGTACTATAAGAGTATTAGAAAGTTATATACGACTGGTGTTAATTTCTAGTTGTCTTCTAGAAATCACTTGTGTTCCTATTTAATAAAAGGTAATTTAGAATACTACTTGTCCTTTGCAGTAGTTTAGTAGTGGGCATTAAGCTGTGTCCTGGAAGGATGTACCTATTAGTAGGTGCATTTTAGAATGAGATATTAATATTTTATTAGCATATAATTGTGGCCATATGTCTCTGATTTTCTGAGGCAGATCTAATTTTAGATATTCTGTTAGTAGACCATGTGATCCTTCTTTTTGGTTTTGGAAATATAATCACTGTTAATGTTTTCCCTCCAAATAGAATACTGTTTTATCCATATAAATCATAACAGCATCTATCCCATGCCAGGGTTGGAAACTGATATTGGTATTACCTGTGTTTTTTCTTTGTGTGTTTTATTTCCCAGTTTCATCTTCTTTTAAAAATGAAAATATGGTGCCTTCCCTCCCTCCAGGAAGATTGGCAAATAGTTCCTTTTATTTACTGCTGCTGTGGAGTGATGAGATATGCACTTTACTCTTGAAGATTCAGCAAAAAGCTTTTCACTTCCCAGTATATCCAGAATACATCACATCTGGGACTTAGGAAAATTTGCCAAGCAATCCTTGTTTTTATAGATATTAATGTTGATCCCCCCCATTCAATGTTATAAGAACAAGTCAAGCTAGTGTTTGTTTATCTCCTCTCCCTCCCCAAAACTGTGGCACAGCATATAAAAATGTACCTCAATAATGTTCTATTAAAAATGGGACAGGGGCCTTATGTTTTCATAATTTCCCAACAATGTGCCACCATATTTTTGCCTCAAGGTAAAGGTTTTAACAGACTAAAAAGTACTTCCCAATTCCCTGTGCTATTTCTAACCTATGATGCCCAAGTGTTTTGTGCAATGTGTAGTGTGTGTGTATAAATACATATATTCTTGAAATAGACATACCATCAGAGACATCATTCACAAGTAACTGATGTATTGGTATCTCATTCATATTTCTGATGTGTGAGGTATATGGTACTAATTACCTTTTCCTTGATGTTTGCCAAATTTGAATAAAGACATTGGTACGAAATTACAGAATGTAAAGAAAATGTTTTTGGCTTGAAAAATTAACAAATATTTTATGACATACCACAATATACTCTGCCCAAACCAGCACCCTATCTATCTTTCCTGTTCTTTACATCCCTGTTCCCCATCCCTACTTCCTCATTTTTTGGGGGTATAACAGTTCTTTTGTAGCATCCTTATAATTGCAATTCTATGGCAATTGGACAATTATAGCATGGAAACAGACTGGTATTAATAGTACAGTAGTCACCAGTGTGCCACATTTGCATTAGTAATGCAAAATATACATTTTATAAGGAACAAACTTTGTGTTATGTTTTATTTTCATTACATTGTATAATATTGTAAGATTATTGTATGTCCTAATTTGCATTATAAATGTTTTTTTCCTACGTAAAGGCATAAATATAGCAACTTTGTATAAAGGTAGCTTATTAGATTTTTAATTTTTTCTTTTATAAAAAATGGTCTAACAGTGGGACTACCATTGCCAAATTGTACATGAAATATGAATTTTACCCCCATGGTTAACTTCTTTTATAAACATTCCATATTTCTCTAATAAAAGATATAAGTGATACTATACTATGCATAAATTGTATCTTAATGCTGTTTCAGATCAGCATTTTAAATTTTGGTTTGCATTTTTACTATTGGCAAAACGTAACCACTGTTAATTAAAATAAAACCTTGTATATGTAACAACATAATTTGCCCTCTATCCCTTCCCACCCTTTGTTCTCTATTTCTCCCTATCAGTGCCAACTTCATACATTTTGTAGCATGGCAATAAAATGTAACTTTTACACTGAGGCCGAGTGTGGCTTTTTGGAGGAAGTGGGGATGGGATGATTGCTCTCTAGTTGTCCTTTGCATATGACTCTCTTTGCTGTATAAGCCGTGTCATCAGGCACGAAAAGTTCTCTCATACACGATGTAAACATGCTTTTAAGGACAAGTGTGAATGTGCTTTTAAACTTAATTTTTGTCATGACAACTAATTTTTTTTTATCTTTGGAGAAGTCAGAGTTCTTGAAGTACAATCAAACTTTTATTAACTGGAGTACTTATAATAAGCTAGTAATTGAATTTAGTTCAACAAGGGCTAAGCAACACATTTTTAAAATCCTTATTTATTATAGAGTATTAGTATACTTTACTGTCCTACAAATTATGTAAAATATGGTTTAATCTTAGATGACTTAGGATTTTGCAATGCCTTACTGTTGTCATTTTGGCATAAATATCCATGATGAGGTACTCAAGTTGATACTGGAAGCTGAGCTGACCATACACTAACCTGAAGCATTCATGAAAAACTGCTTTGTTGAATAAAGTCTGATTGGAGTTCTTTTCATGCTCACTTTCCCCTTATTGCTGAAAGTAGATTGCAATAAAAACCCCAATAAAAAGTTTGGTTGGATATTTACTTAAAGTTTTATTGTATTTATATTTCACATATTGCTTGAAACTTTGACATTTTCTTTTCTAGTCTCATAACACTGCCTCTATTTTCAAAATGAACATATAATAAGATATTGAAATGAAATTGCAAATACTTGACAGGCTCTGTATGAAGTTCTCAGCTCTGAGACTTCAAACCTGTCTTTAGCCACTGAGTGACATTGCAAAGCCTTAGTTGAGTACAGGTCAAGTTTAAAATTATTTAAACAATGAAGGGGATGGACATGTCCACAAATGATTGATGTAACTGGCATGATAAAGACACACACAAAGGACGGGCATTCAACTCAGCCTAGGGGTGGTTTTCAAGCAAAGCTTCTTGGAGGGGGTGATCCCTAAGGTGTTTTGTCGAAAGCCTTTGTAGCTTAGAGAAAGAGAGGGTGTCTTAAGGAGAAGGGATAGCATGTGCAAAGTCAGAGGTATAGAAATATCATGACATTCAGTGGTTGCAAGAGGTTCCAAATGACTAGCACATGGAGGGCAAAGGCAGGGTAGGGGTATAGAGAAGAAAGGAGAAATGAGAAACACATCACACAGAATCCTAAAGAGCTTTTGTTTAAATTAGGTGAGAGAACTTGAAGGATTTTAAACACCAGAAAAATGATAGTTTAGAAAGATTACTCTGACAACATGGGTACTTGAAGGGCACAGTATTTTAACAAAGCAGGGACACTGGTTAAGAGGCTTTTTTTCAGAAATGGAGCCAGATCTGATAAATGCCTATTCAAAGGCATTGTTAGAGGACCGTTTAGATTGTTTATTGCTGTGCAACAAACCACCCTAAAATTTAGTGGCTTAAAGCAGCAATCATTTTCTTTCTCAAGTTGCTATAGATCGGGATGGGCAGGGCACACCAGAGACAGCTTATCTCATATGATGTCTGGAGGCCTAGCTTCCTCACATGTTTTGTGTCTTAGCTAGTATGGTTCGAGCAGCTGAGGGCTGGCTGGACCAGTTCAACCAGGTCATGTCTGGTACTTCAATTCTAGCTGTCTTGTTTTCCTTAGTTTTCTTCCATGTAGTCTTGGGTCTTTCTTCATGCGGTCTTACATGGCAGTTTAGGGTTTCCAAAAGCACAAAAGTAGAAGCTGCTAGGCTTTCTTGAGGTCTAAGCCCAAAACTGGCACAATGTCATTTCTGTTGTATTTTGTTGAATTATGCTAGATCATGTAAAGGCATAAATATCAAAAATGTAGTTTATTCAGGGCCACCAATGTAACAGAGGGCCTAAAGGAGAAAGAATCAACACTTCTGATTGACAAGGGAAATGACAGAAATGGAGGGGTCAAGGATGACCCCAGTTGTCTGGTTTAGGTGACTGTGATGGTTGATGGTGTCAGTTCACTGAGATTTAAAATATATTTGGGGGCTGGGCATGGTGGCTCAGGCTTGTAAACCCAGCACTTTGGGAGGCTGAGGCAGGCGGATCACCTGAGGTCAGGAGTTCAAGACCAGCCTGGCCAACAAGGTGAAACCACGTCTCTACT